GGATATTAGAGATACCTACCTACGGAACCAACCAACTCGCCAAATCTAACACGCCTTCTTTCCAGTAAAGCCTACCGAAGGTTACGCAAGTATTTGGATTATTGAGCGACTGACTCGCCGCGTTGCCCGGTTTCAATAGATATGTATCCAATGAAAAGATTTACTATAAGTCACAAGAATGACTTACATAATAAAAAAAATCCATAAAATGAAATTTTAGTTCGAGAATACTATATGTATTCTTATTTGTAGAATAAATTTGATTAGTAAAATTTTTTAATTTATTTAATAAATATATATTGGATTTTTTGCACTTTTTGAACTTTTCGAACTTTTTGCACTTTTGTCCCGTGACTTCCGGTTACTCCGCCCGCCGACCTAGGTCGGGTTACCAAACTCGGGGCTCACGATATACTACGTAACAATTTAAGTTAACGATCAGACATCCCCAAAAAACGGGGAATCACGCAATTTTAAATTCACATGTATCAATGTGATAATTTAGCATCACATAGTTCTACGGCATGTATACAAGACACGTATCGAGTATTAATTTTGTACGTCTGATCACAAACTTTATAAACTTTTCCGGAAACGATTCGGTAACGGTAAAATGAGTGTGGACGGAACCGATTTGTATTACATGAACATACATGACAAATTTATCACACAACTTAATAAAAGGATCAGATTAAGATTGAATTTGCTCATTTAAAAATGGCGGATCAAAGACCCATTATTCTTTGGTCCCATCCGAGATCTCTTTCTACAGTTTTTGAACGACCGTTTCTTCAACGTCCTCAAGAATTCCATGTTATCCATGAACCAATTAATCCAATTAGTCGTGCTTATGTGACCAAAAACTTTGAATTTTTGAATCAAATTCCGTTACCTAAACCTACTGATCCGATCACTTTTGTAAATCATTTCTCTTCTACTCTTAATGAAATTCTTGCTCCTCATTACTATAATGATGATAAAACACATACTTTAAGAGTTTTTGTGAAGGATCATGCATCCAATTTTTTAGATGCATTAGAAGGAAAGGAAGAAAATCCATTAGGATCCAAGGAAATTCTTTCAAAATTTAAACATACGTTCATAATTAGAAATCCAGAAAAATCTGTAAAGTCTTTTTACAAAGCTGCAAATTCTACATATAAAGCTTGGGATAAAGCCTGTGTACCTAATTCTGAAAGGTATGACATTTTTTTTCCTGAAAAAGTTTGGCTCAAAGAATCAAGAATTCTTTACGATTTAATTAAGAACATAACTGGAGAGGAGATTGTTTTAGTAGATGCTGATAATTTAGTTCAAGAACCAGAGAAAATTTTGAGAAAATATTGTGAGATGGTCAACGTAGAGTTTAAGAAAGAAATGCTTGAATGGAAAGAAGAAAGATTGAGAATATGGGATTTAAAATTGTCAAACCCAGATATAGATTATGTGTGGCATAAGTATGTTTATTATTTTCAATAAATTTTTCTTTTCATATATTAACTATGTACATATTATAAATAAAAAACAGGAATGTAATGCAAAGCACAGGATTTGACAAATCAATCAATAATGAAGAAGAAATTGAATATCCTCAACATGTTTATGACCTAATTGCTAAAAGCAAACCTCATTATGAATACTTGTTTCAACATAGAATTAAGATTTAGCACAATCTTATATGATGGGTGGTTGTTTTTATAAAGAAAAATTCAAAAGCTTAGATATTGAGTTCGGCATTATTTAGATGTTAATTCTGCATCAAGATAGTTTTTCATCTTTAATTAAAAGGTTGCAAAAACCCAACCAATCTATAAAAAAATAGAACGGAAAATTATATTTTTATAATAAAATATATTTTACTGTAGACCAATTTATATAGTATAGATCACGTGTAAACCTTTTAAATAAAAGATTTTAAAATTATTTATTGACTGAAAAAAATCCAACGTCAAAATTCTTTTTAAGAATGTGTTCTCTTGTTTGTTTTCTGGATATTTCCGAATTTGTTCATGTCAATATCGATATCGCTATGTAACGGTAAAATCATCACGAATAATAAATCTATTTACCATTATTATTAAATTCATTAAAAAAAACTAAGGCCAGACTTTGCCTTTTTTCATTAATATTTCAAATCACGGGGTATATTATTCTTTTAATAGAAATTTGTTTATAATACAAAGTTAATACATATTGAACAATTCTTAATAAAAAAATTAAAAAAATTAACGTGATATAATTAAAGATTATTCCATTGAATTTTTAATATCCTGGTTGAATACTGATTTTAACCTAACATTAATATTAATACTAACAATACCTGAATTATTATTAAAATAAAAAAAATTTATTTATTTAAAGCATTTTCTCGGTAATTCATTCTCGAAAGTTTTTACTGATTTTAAAAATTTTATTCTTGTAATGGATCTATATTCAAGTAAGATATAACAAACTCTCATCAAATATTACAAGAAACATGTATTAATAAAAATTTTACTTTTAAATACTCAGATAACTATCTATCAATGTTTCCAATGCAAAATAACTCCGAAGAATTAAATCGTCAGTTATAACCAATTTTGAGCTTGAATTATTAAAATGCTTCACTCTAAACACGAACTACGTCATTCTGTTCATAAACCAATAAGTGTAATTTATAATTTGACCAATTATCAATTTGAAATGATTAACCAATTATGAAAAGATCCAAATTTTAGGGTGACTATAGCACATGATAAATTCACAACCGCAGTATGTAAGTCTTATGCAAAGAATTAAAAGTATAAAAATTAACAGATTCCAGAATTATTTATTCTAGTTTATTCCAGATTCAGTAGTGTGAAACACTTCCTGACTGACTTATAATGAGTCCCAATAACATCAATGCGGAACAAAGAAATGATTTAAGAGATGGATTTAAAATAAATGTTCAATCATCCACATCAATTTTTGAATAAAATAATTCAGACACTAATAATATATGACAACAGACAAAAAAAATAGACAAATAAAATGCATGTCCTATATATCCCGACTTAGCAAAGTAATCAATATTAAGATCATATACAAAAAAGACTGCGAAATATAAAAAAATAATTAATAATGAACTTGAGTCAAAAATTTTAAATATGACAGGAAATGTACCTAATAAACAAAACCATCTAATGTAATTCAAATCAGAAAACTATCCAAAATAGATGCAGAAGATAATAAAAGGGAGCCACCAAAATGCGAGTTCTTTAAAATCATGAGATTTCAATTGCGCAAAGTGATGAATATCAAGTTTAACTCTAATTAAGACTAAAAATATAAAAATAATTAATAATTGTTCTCAGATCAAGCATTAAATATCATGATGAGAAATGAATATATATACTCGATAAAAGAAATCATCCAATGTAATTCAAATAAGAAAATAAACTACTATTAACGAATGAATATCATTTCCACATTGAGAATAAAATTCTTAAAAAGAAGACAACATCCTTTAAATTTTCAACATTGATAAATAATTGCAGTACTGCTAATAGACAAAAAATTAAATTCATTTTGCAGACACTTGCCATATAAAATGAAAAAAATCAGCATTACTGTGTGAAACAAAACAAATAAAAAAAGTACTAGAATTTACTTTAATAAAATTTCAATCCAAGTTTCAATCAAAGATTCTAGGATAAATGCCAATAACTAAAATACAAAAATACGAATTTAGCTATAACAAAAAACTATCAACAGTATTATTATTGTTGACTATGTTTCCTAGTAAATATAATTTTTTAATAAAAATAAACATACTCTAACACTAACAACTCTAACAAAGAAAAAACTTCTGTAAACTCTGAGTAAATGGAGTTGTATAGCTTGTTCAGAATCTTGTGCATTCATATTTTTACAGATTAGAATTCTACTTAATCAATTTCATATATACTCAGTAAGCATTCTTATATCTCTTTTTACTTTCAAGAAAAAACATACCATAAGTACATTTTTATTTATATTTCTAGTTATTATTCTATGTATATTACATATAATAAACTAGTATATATATATTACTAATAATGATATTTAAACAAGTTTAAAATTAGAACAGAAAATTATAAATAATAAGTACTATTACCACCAGTGTATTCTATTATCGATATCGATATATGTTGTAGATCTTTTACATATTTTAAACCTGTTTTTAAAATAATCGTACTCGTTAAAACTTCAAATTCTATTGAACAACTTTACATTAAATTAGTACAGATATCTGATATATATTTAGTTCTAATATATGATTTACATATATATTAATATATATCATTTATAACAGGTTAAACTTCTAAAATCTTCACTTGATCAAAAATCCAATAAATTGGCACATATATCATCTTTTACTCACTGTCTTTTAGACAAGATCACATCATGAATTCTTTTAACTCAAAAGAAGTGACCAGTTGCCCTGAAATTCCCATCGTCAATTATAAAAAAATATACGATTATCTTTATTAAATTGATAATATTCTTTAAATAACACAAATTTTGATTTTTATTACTTTTAATATTTTAACAATTTTATTAGAAGGTCCTATTATCAGAAATTAAAAAGTAGTTTAGATACACTCTTTAAACTACTCCTATCATATAAGAGCGACTCTAAGATGAGTAAAGAATACTTAATACTAGAAGGTAACAACACATTAAAAAATTTCTATTTTAGAGATTGAAAATATATATTTAATACTGATAATTCTTTTGGAAAGCTGCCTCTCTTTTGTCTAACTATTATGAGCAAAATAAACTACTAACTGAAGAATTGAATAATTAGGATTTGTTAATCAAAAAATGTATGATTTTACAATAGATTTATTATTTGTTTCTTAAAAGAGAAATATTAGAATCACTAATACTTATCTGCTTTCTAGTTGCTTTGCAAATTTAAAATCAGTATAGTGAAATCATTCACCTTGCACAAATCTGTAAATATCAGCATGAAGAATTGAATAAGTATAATGAGATAGATAATGAGTTGAATTTGATGCTACCTCTTAATTTAGACCAGCAGACACTTAAAAAAGTGTATAATATAAGATTATAAGAAAATAATAGTGCTTTTATTTGATAGTTTTTATCTTTTTCATTTATTAAATCCATTGAATTTGAATGTAGTATATCCTTTTGAAATAGAATATTACGCATGAATTATTGATACTTTTAAATAAAATCACATGATCACATGATACATAACTTTTAAAACTCAAATAATATGATATTAGTACCAGAAGTTAAAAATCAAAGTTTACCTGATCCTAGCAGTTATTGCATTATTACTGCTTTCAGAATTTATATTAGTTTGTATTTGAAAATTATACTGTATTATCACCCAGAGTATTATTTCACTATATATTAGTTAATCTGAAAAATATATCAGACAAGCAAAATATTCTGATTATAGTTATATAATTAAGACATATATCTCATTCTGTTCTAAAAAAATTTATTAAAGTTTTCTATGAGCTAAAGTGTAGGTGCAAGGAATATATTGTATGAGTTCCAATTTCAAAAGACTTTAGCACTTTGATATTCTGATATATTTTTTCTCTATACTATTAGAATTTGTGCAAGTTTTATTTAAATATATTTATAACTAGAAAACATATATCTTTATTAAAAAAAACTGGTTTCATAACAAAATAATATATTATACTATTATATGATCAATATAAAAAGATAAAGGTAACAATTTCTTTAAAAAACAAGTATTTAAAATATATAGGATCAGCAATAGTATAATGTATATGAGTACTGTTAAGAGAAAACTCATATACATATAATTCTAAGTATTTTATATGCTATTTAAATTAAATAATAAGATATATATAAGATGAAATAATTCTTATCGAGTACATATAAAAATTTATAAAATAAT